TAAAGGCATAATAATTTTACTATACTGCCCTTTCTAATATTTGTAATTTCCTCATTCATATTATCTCTCTATCGAAGCAGAAAAATATGCAATACCTTTTACGCTAAAAATGTTGTGTTCGAGAATAAAGGCATGTAGGATGTGCATTGAAAATCTCGACTTTAGAAAGGTGTTAAGATAATGCATATGGATTTTTTTTGAAATATTTTGGGGGTTAATTTCTTATATGTGAAAATTATTTTGTCATACAAGCAGATTGGCAGTATATTACTATTATATCATATATGCATTTCATAAGCTTTAATAAGGATCAAGAATATGTTTATTTATGTTTTAGCATTTTAACGGCTGTCGCAACTGCCTACATGCATTAGCATAAAGCGGAAGCAAATATACTCTGTGGCTAAAATAATATTTGATCAAGAAAAAAATTCTCGTGATTTTGGATGAACAATATTCGCTGAAATTTGCCAAGAATAAATATATATAGATCTTTCGTAATTAACAGAGGATTGGTCAGATGCTTCGCATGATGTATATCATATCCAGAAGTGATTAGCATTTTTTTGTGCTCATTTCCTATATTTATTCAAAAAAAATAACCTATCCTGGGCAGATATGTTATCTGGATATACTATACTTAAGAAAAAAAGTTTGGAATGACCTATCAATACATGCTATATCATATAACAATAGTAAAGACTCTTCTTACTTCCAACCAATAGAAATGGAAACTACTAGTTAATTATATGATAAAATCTTTCCAGTGAGTTCTGCAATAAAGTAATGTCATATCACTCATATACAGCATACATTTGGTTAAAACGACTCGCAAACTAACTTTATTTATTAATCACAAAGATAAACTAAAAAAACATTTTGGTATATGATGCAGTGATTACATGACATAAACTATAGTTCATGTAATCTGCAAAGAATTTATGATTCCCAAGTAAAATGAGCTATAATACTTTTGATTTGAGTATCTGTAAGCTTTGAAATATTATTTACACTATAGGGTTGAACCCTCTTGATTTTTTTAATCCCTATTTTACTGAACAATTCAAAAATATTTCTTGCCTTCTGTGTCTTCTTACATAAATTTTCTCTTGTAATATTTAAAGATATTTAAAATTGCATCATATATCTGGGTCCTAGCCTGTTGATCTTTAACCCTCTTATCATTATCTTTAACATCCTTAATACTTTTTTTCAAACTGTTCAATATAGTAATACCAATAGTGAATCTCCTCTTAATAAGCTTGAGTTACATGCTTTTTGGTCTTAATTGCTTTTTGGAATAATCGAGCTTAATTCTGCGAGATTAAACCCTCAGAACCTTATCCTTATTATTGGTTTTGGTAATCTCTCCCTTAATAGGTGTAGATAATTCATGTAATAATCCTCATAATCTTTCCTATTCACAAATAGTTCTTAAATATGTTTTTCTTGATAATTGGATTTGTGTATTAACAATGCTATCATCAGTTGTTTGATTAGTCGAATTATCCATTCTTCAATCATAGATTTCAGGGAATAAACAGAATGAAAGGGAGTATGATTACTACATATTCCATTTTAACTGCATTACCTATCTTATTTGAGAACTATGATTATTATTCCTATTATCATCATTTTCAGCATCATCAATGATATCTGACAACTCTGATATCTCTTCCACATACGCAATTAGACTTGTCACTTAATCATATATAGTAACTTCAGTTCTCTTTTCCTTCTGACCTGCAAGAGAATTTTCATCTTCTATAGTATCATCACTTAAGGTGTCTTTTTTTCTGAAATTCTTATTCTTTGACACTATGTGATACTCACCAGAAGCTAGTACAAGTTCCTTTCTAATAAGTTCGATAGATGATATATAGCTAAAAATAGAGCATAAAGAAAAACGTGATTTTGATCATATAATATGTTTTTCAAGACATATTCAATGATATATATGTTTACATGATAATACTGTGAATGATTGAAGTGTTAAGGCGAGAATTTCTTTATCGCAGAAGTGACAAGGATTAAGTTTTAGAATATATTCATCAGTTATTTTAGAAGTATTTCTTAAGAAATTTAATGAAAGTGCTTTAAGTTAAAAAATCTCTGTATCATTCGCATGAATTTCTGAAGGACTTGCTAGTAGTTTACTAATCATACTGTTAAATCATAAAGAAGATTTCTTGCCCTTTTCTCCTTATATAAATATTTTTTCATATATCAAGAATAAAATAAAATTAGCCCTATCCTAAGAAAATTTATCTCAGAAATGAGCATCACAAAATGAAGATCACAAATAAAATCAGGATTAATGATGAAAAGATATGTATAATACCAATTAGTTTGTATTGTTCAATTTTTGTTATAGCAGATAAAAAAACTATCTTTATGTTATGATTCTTTTCAACCATATGTCATAAAAAAAAGACTACTATACCCTAGTTAAAACTATAATCATCACAAAATATGAAAGCCTCTAAAACAAATATGATAATTCCTCCTTCAATCAAATATCTTCAGGAGAAAAGTTTTTGATTATTTCTTCAAAAAATTTTCATTAAACAGTTGGCTTATCTTCTGCAGTACCAAAGGTACAAGGGAGGAATTTATTTTCAAATTTTAGCTAACATTACATCAATTTCAGCTAATATGAAATCCATTTCTATTATCTGAAACTTTTAAGGATCAGGTTAGGATATAGGCAAAGAAGCCTGTGTTTGGAATTTTGAACTGTCGCTTGTCTCAGAAACAGATTTATGATCAGATTCAGGACTAGAGTCTTTTGATTCTGTATCACCTATAGCATAATTTTTTCCTATATCGTGATATACAATCTTATGCATTAATGCTTTTCTACTGAGAAGATCAAGTTGCTGGTGAGTTGGATTTAAACCACCATGAACTCTAGAAGCATACTTACCTCCTATTTTTCTTAATATTTTAGGTTTGATTTTATGAGGCTTCAGAAATTTGCTAAATATCTTAGTTAAAGATAGATACCATAATTAAGAAGTTGTAACTCAGTAAGTTGCAACTCCTTGTAAATTTATTTTAATATAAAAATTCATAAATAGTTGCAACTTAAAGTGTTGCAATATTAGTTGCAACTAGTTAAAAATTTTAAAAATAATTATGAGAACCATCTTTAATCCTAGTATTACGCTTTCTATTTTCACTAAAAGTGTGATCACTCAACCTTTTAGTCTTTATAGCTTCTTGAATCCAGATGAGTAACATTCTTACACGTTCTAGATCCTTTTTATAGAAACAAATAAACGAGACTCTGGATTATCCTTATATTTTCCTTTATTCTTAATATATCTAGTACAATACCAGGAAAAACCATTTACATATTATGCTAGAGAATTTGAGGAATCAACTTCATAATAACTGATCTGAAAAGATCTCACTTTCGCAGGTCTCATACTCAACATCACTATCACATCTGCGAGATTCTTTTGAGTAAGAATTTTAGAAACATCCATATTTTGAATCCTTTTATGCATATTTGCTAAAAAGAAATTTAGTGGAGTTCTTGATCAATTATTGGCTAAATTTTGCTCAGTCCGTTCTTTCTGAATATTGTTAAAAGCTGTAGTGACATCTGAATCTTTGGCATAAATATCAATAAGTTCTTGAGCAATACCAGCTTTGCCAATTCGATATGAAATAATGAGAGCTATGAACAGGAGGTAACAGTTTCTTTATCATTATTACTTTATAGACCTAAATTAGAGCATTGATATAAATATCCCACTTATCACCAGTTTTATCATAATAAAAAGCTTTTTCTTCAATGGTGAGCTTTTTCTTTCTTTTGTCTGACACAAGAATCCCTATTTGCTCTTTGCTAAATATATGTCTTTTATCAGTGCGTCTGGCAAGGAGATCTTTAACACACTTGTGAGCCTTCCAATCATACAATTGAATATTAAGTTCTGAAGCATGTTCTCTTAATTGTTCTAGAATAGAGTCAGCTGACAAATTATACTTTTTTAGAAACTATTCTAAAATCAAAACAAAGTTATTAGTTTTGGGCTTTTGGTCCTTTGAAGCAGTTGCTTTAGTAAATATGCCAATGGTAAGTAGATTGTGATTATTATCTAGTTATACTAATTTACTTATTTTTTAATTTGAAAAAATTCCTTAATTAGAGTTTTCAGAATATGCTTTAACTTTCTTCTGGTAATTAGTGAAGAGAAAGAGATTCTAGTTTTGTGTAGCTTTGGCCAAAATGCTAAAGCAAAGGAATTTTGAATATCTATAATAAAAGTGAAATAAAGTTTTAAGATTATTAATATCAAAATTATCTCATATGGATTATTTATCTTGTCAATACATCAAAAAAGATGGTTCAATTTGTGGGAAAAAATGCTGTCGTACTTCAGAATGTGCCAGATATTATAAAGCCTATCCTAGAATAATATGTCCTATTTGTAAGAAGGAAACCTATTCTGATACTGAAATCTATAACACACATAATGGAATTTATGACTATGGCTGACACGAAAGTAAAAAAACTAAAATAGAATCAATCCCTTTAGGATCATTTGATATAATGAAGTCTTAGTTAATGCTAAATAATAAGCTGAATTATTATTTTTCCTGCTTTATAGGATCAAAGAGTTCCTGAATCTCATTATTTGTTTTTAGCTTATATGGTGAAAGCTCTAGTGCACCTTTATCTCCAAAACCAAGCCCTTTATATGATCAGCGATTAATTCAGTATGAATATTCCCAAACTTGCTTTCTTTAAGTCCTATTTTTCTCCAATTGCTTTTAACTATATAGCTACACCAATTATTAGCGATTACATTGATTATTTTTATGGCTGATATAAGATCGGGCTTTTCTTTTACACAGGACTTAAAACTAAAAAGTAATAAAGACTGACTTCAGATTTCTATAAATCTTTCACACAATTAAGCAAATACTTTTAAAATAATATTACCTAAAAGAGTACATATATCATCAATACCAGTAAAGCCTAGTATTTAAAAAAGTTCTCTTATAGCTTCCCAGTGATTTGCCAAATAAGATATATGCAAGTCCTCTACCACCAATTTTTCCAGATTCTCTTTAGCTTTATAACAAACAATTTTCCATTGTGTAGTATCCTTGGCTTTTAACCCTTCTATTGCATTCTCTTCATCATAGTCATGCCTCTAAAATTGAGATAAATATAAGAAATATTTTTGAGGTTCAGGCGAGTTAAAACATTTCACAAATTTTTTATTACAGAGATTATTTCAATCATCGATATTTATGTCTTTACCACCATAAAAATTTCACAAATAGAAATGTTTAAGTGTCATAGTATCTGCTATAAAATACTTCCGGTTAAACTTAAGAATTTTAGTAACTTTAGAACTAAAATTCTGGAAAGTAGCAACTGTATTAAAATCTGTTCCTTTAATAACTAATGCTTCAACTCTAATCTTATTACGAATTCTTTTATAGTTCTCTATAACTTCTCAACTCTCATCCATTTTTATTAGTTGGAAAGAAGCACCAATACTGGCTATAAAACTACAAAGCTTCTCAATAAAATATCTTGCAAAAAGACATTTCTGATGCTCAACTTCAATGAATGTTATTGCAGCTAGAGATTCATCAATTTTATAAGAAATGATATTACTATTCCATTCACAGTGACCCTTTATTGCTATAGGTAAATTATTAAGTCGAGCACTTTTAAGTTTTGCTCGAATATTTTCATAGCCTGATTGACGAAAAGTTCATTAGGATTTTCTGATAGAACATGAAAACAATACAACAGGGACAATTACAAATTCGGTAAAACATTTGTACAAGAGCCTTAACATAAACTGGGGTTATTACTAAGTTTTCTTAGTAAACTAAAGCCGCGATGTCAGTTATTATTAAGTTTTCTTAGTAAACTAAAGCTGTGATAGCAAGCATTACTAAGTTTTCTTAGTAAAACTGAAATCGCAGAATTATTTTACTAAGTTTAATAGTAGTGTTCTGCACGAATCGGATTGGATCAGATTTAGGCAAAATCTGATTTGATTCAAATCTGAAAAATCCAAATCTGATTCGATTCGAATTTGAAAAATCTGAATCTGATTCAATCTGACTCTAACAAATCCGAATCCGAATCTGTATCTGAATCTGACAAATTCGAATCCATATCCGTATCTGACAGATCAAAAAATTCGCCTCTAACGTTCAGAACGGTGTTTTAATGTTAAAAAAACATCAATTTTGTTGTTTTTTAACAAAAATCCGCCTTCGACGTTCGGAACGGCATTTTAATGTTAAAAAAAACAATTTTGTTTTTTTTAACAAAAATCTGCGTCCGACTTTCAGGGTGGCATTTTATTATTAAAATTTAATTTTTTTAATAATAAATGCTGCATTCAACTTTTGGAGCGGCATTTTTATATAAAAAATTAATAAAAATTGATTTTTTTATAAATTAATGTCGCATCCGACTTTTGGGGCGGCATTTATTAATAAAAAAATTAATTTTATTAATAAATGTCGCGTCCAACTTTTGGGGTGGCATTTTTATATAAAAAATTAATAAAAATTGATTTTTTTATTAATAAATACCGCGTCTGACTTTTGGGGTGGCATTTTTATATAAAAAATTAATAAAAATTGATTTTTTTATTAATTAATGCCACGTCCGACTTTTACGGCGGCATTTTTATATAAAAAATTAATAAAAATTGATTTTTTTATTAATAAATGCCGCGTCTGACTTTCAGGGCAGCATTTTTATATTAAAAATTTATTTTTTTATTAATAAATGCCATGTCTGACTTTTGGAGGCAGCATTTTTATATAAAAAATTAACAAAAATTGATTTTTTTATTAATAAATGCTGCATCTGACTTTCAGGGCAGAATTTTAATATAAAAAATTAATAAAATTAATTTTTTATTAATAAATGCTGCGACCGACTTTCGGGGTGGCATTTTTATATAAAAAATTAATAAAAATTGATGTTTTTTATTAATAAATGCCGCGTCTGACTTTCGGGGCAGCATTTTATTATTAAAATTTAATTTTTTTAATAATAAATGCTACGTCTGACTTTCTGGATGGCATTTTATTATTAAAATTTAATTTTTTTAATAATAAATGCCACGTCTGACTTTCGTGACGGCATTTTGTTATAAAAATTAATAAAATTTTTTATTTAATAAATGCCGCCTCTGACTTTCAGAGTGATATTTTAATATTAAAAATTATTAAAATGAATTTTTTAATAATAAATAATGCGTCCGACTTTCAGAACGACATTTTATTATTAAACATTAATTTTTTTAATAATAAATACCGCCTCCGACTTTCGGGACGGCATTTTGTTATTAAAATTAATAAAAATTAATTTTTTAATAATAAATGCTGTGTCTGACTTTTGGGCGGCATTTTATTATTAAAAATCAAATTTTTTAATAATAAATGTCGCGTCCAACTTTCGGGTGGAATTTTATTATTAAAAATTAAACTTTTTTAATAATAAAT